AAAAAGTAGTTGATAGTTGAGATTATTAACGAATTTTAAGCACAGCTGAAATTTAGACACATATCATCAGCTTTGATAGTTCGCCTATTGAGCACTGAACTCTGTTTCTCTATTGACTCCAAGCCATTTGGATCCAATAAGTGCAATACTTAAATATTTTCCATAGATGACGTGAGAATCTCTGGCAGCTTTTGCTCTTTACGCTTTTCCAATATTACATTGTATTTCACACAGGGGCACCATAAAGTCGTTTCGGTAAATTGATGTCGGTCCCGTCTCCAGTGTCTGGCTCTGTAAGTCGACCTCCACTTTGGCAGCGTTGTCCTTTAATGGTATTTGTGGCACATTTTTATTGATGCACTGAACTCTTCGAAGTGATTAAGTGGGGCAGCCGCACTTTTGTATGTGGGCGCCACTTGGCTCTCCCTGACAACAACGGGCGCTTCGCCTGCCCTGCCATTCCCTTTGCTGCTGCACAGGATTAAACGAGGACCAACAAGGACTAACGCTTGGTCAGCATAAATTAATTACATTTGTGTGCATGGGACACAGGCAGCAATGAAGTGACAGTTAAGGCGGACAATGTCAAGTGTTGAATATCATGTGCTAAGGCTGTGTGGCCCAGCGAGTGAGTGTGCGAGTGTGTCCCTGTTCTACTTCTCTACTTTGTAGTCAACTATGCACAGCTATCAAGTGAGCTTGGGCCATAAACTTTTAAGCTTTATGCGGTTAAATTATTATTTTTATTTTTGCACAGAGTACTTTATGGCACGTATTATTGTTTATGATATCGTAATACTTATGTATGTGCTTAAATTTTAAATATTAACTATTTTCTTTGATGATTATCTCTTTCATTCATTTTTTTTAACAACTCATACTCTAGTTGCAAATCGATCTCAGATGGTATCCATGTCTTCTTTTTTTCTTTTCTGTGTCTATCCCTTTGTTATATTGTCTACGATTCTTCTTTATGCGTCTGATCTCTATTTTTCATTGAATTTCTGTATTTCTCTCTCTCTCTCTCTCTCTCTCTCTCTCTCTCTCTCTCTCATTATCTTCATTTATATTTTTCTTTTTGTTTTCTCTTTCCTCAGTGTGTCTCCCTCTCTCTCGATTTCTAACTCTCTTATTCTCTCCCTGTCTTTGGTTTTTATTGATCTGTCTTCCTCTCTCTGTATCTCTTTATCTCTCTTTCTCTCTCTCTCTCTCTCTCTCTCTCTTTCGATTTCTAACTCTCTTACTCTCTTTCTATCTCTCCCTCTCTATCGCTCTCTCTCTCTGTCTCTCCCCCTCTTTCTCTAGTGACACTTCTATGACCCTGTCTCTATATTCTCTCTATTTCTTGTCTAGTCTAGTCTGTATACTAACCATTTTAATCATAATAAATCTCATTTCTGCAAATAGCTCACACAATAAATCACAATTAATATGAGGTGCTAATGATGATTTCTTGGCTGTTCGTTTACCTAGCTACCTTCGCTGGGCATTAGCAGAACTATGTAATTTGATTTCAATTAGACGCATTTAGTTCGAGTAGATTAAGCCGCAGAGCGTCAAATGCGCAATTGCTAATGAGTTTTTCTTTGGTCAGTTCAGCTGCTCGTCAATGTCAGCTGCGTTGAGCTAATTAAAACATAAACTGTTACCGCAGTTCCCCGTCTCGTTCCCGTTTCGTTCACACAATTACATGGACTTAAGTTAGTTGTTGCCAGCAACTGATTAAATTTGAGCCTTTTATTGGGTGTTTTTGGGTGGCTAACTGGTTGGATGTTTGGGTAGGCGGCTTACGCTGCTCGATCCCAATTGCCTGCAGCCAGAAGGCAGCCAAGGTCTTTGCTCTGATTAAATGCGCTTTCAACGCCCGTCCCAGAGCCGATTTCATTAATTATTCAGAGCACAGTACGGTCCGGTCTCCAGCTGCCTGCTGGCAGTCATCTTCTGTCCGATATCCGGACAGCTCCAGCTGTATTTGATTTAACAGGGAAACGTATTAGCTGGCACATTTCAACAATGTCAACCGATGCCAACTGATGTCCATTGAAGCTAAACGAAATATATACATACATACATATATTGTTTAGCTTTAATAGACTTGCCCCCCAGCCAAGATTCATGCTCAATTAGCTTTGAATAACGCTTAGTCTTATCAGAGCAACATTAGCAAAATATTCCAATAGATGCTTAAAAGCTTTGAGCATTTTTGTAATGAAAATACGCCTATTAGCTTAAGCGAAGTTATTTGCATAGCTAAATTTAGTAAGCTCGAGTAGCAATTGAAATTTAATTAAAATCGAGAGGGCAATTAGGGCATATTCCAAATATATAAAACTCATTACGCTGTTTAGAGCTTGCTGTTGCCTCTGGGAATCGCAGATTAATAAATTTCAAAAATAAAATCCGAACCACAGAGGCAAAGGCACGCACATTATGATATATAGGAACAATATATATACATATATATTTAATTATATATATCCGGTTTGTACATTCCATGAATATATCTGAATTATGTTTGGCTTCCCACATGGTAAATAGGCTACAAATTTTCTGTTTGCCAACCACGAGAACAAATTGTCAATGCAAATTTCAGCCAATAAACCAGAAAGAGAACATGTGAAATATACAATTGCTATTGCTATTTCCGTATGCCGCCCGCATAGGACTCTATTCCACAGGGCATCTGGGATTTCATCTCACGCCCCGCTCGTAAAATTCGAACAATCTCACGCACAGCATCAGTCTACGCGTCTGCGTTTAGTTTAGTTAGTATATATGCACATATGCGTGTGTGTGTGTGTATATATGGGTTGCTACTATTTTAATGCATGAGTAAATGTGTTTTAGCATATGAATAGAGATTTCAGGTTCATAAAATGCAGAGCTTATTGGATTGGACTGCAAAACGCACAGTGTGCCTCATTAAAGTTATCTGAGTGCAGAAATTTGCAAATTATAAATTGAATATACAGCCATAAAAATGGAAAGTGAAAGATATATATATCAAGATATCGATAATATTCTGTAGTATGCATGCAAAATAATAAATATTTACCTCATATTTGTTATTTAAAACTTATTAAACAGTCATATTAACATTCATCATTTTGTTAATGTTAATAGTTATCAAGCTTATGGATAATTAGTTCAAAATTTTTCGTATGGTATAAAAATGAATTATCTTAGAAAATTTATAAAAGTAAACTGCAAATTGTGATATCGATAAGTAGTTCTTATAAATAAATATGTGACACGATCATTTTGATAATTATTATTTCCTAATAATCATCAATCTTTATTATATAATTATCGATCAAACTTATCGATATTAATTTATTACGTTTCTCATATACTATGCCACTCAAATCGTGAGCAATACTTAATATCCATTAACAAACGTAAGAAAAACAATATATATCGAGAGCATGAACCATTAAATACTAAGTGATGGCTGCCCCTTGAACCAAATTAAACTTGCCACCGGCCGGAAGCTGCTATAAAACGTTGCAAATTGCATTTGACATTCGTTTAATGGGAAATGGAAGCTGTTGATAAGCAAAAATGCAGTTTGAGGTCGACTCTTGCTGCCGCAGCAAGTTTCCCGCTGCTGCACACTGCCTGCTATCAGTTACGTCCCAGGCCTTGGACTTGTGCTCATAATTAATTACAACCTCGTGTATATACATATATATATGGCAGCAAGTGGCAGATAGTAAAGGACGTGGCATAGGAGGTCCTTCAGTTGGCTTTTTCGTAACTTTTGGTAGCTGTCATTAGTCAATTTCTTGTTGTTGCTTAACTGAGCTTTTTCCTCCGATTTTTGCACCGGTTTTTGTATCGTATTTTTCCTGGAATGTTGATTTTCTATTTTTGTTCAGTTTGTCTGTTCCTTTAATTAAAAGTTGCGGTAAATTTTTGCGGTTTAATATTTACCTGTCTGTTTGTTTGTTTGCTTATTTTGCTATCCTGCTTTAGCCCCTGCACAATTTGGCATACCTGTTCGTGGTTATGCAACACAATTTGTGCGACGCACAAGTGCAGAGGTTGTGCGGCTTTTTGCGTCTCGTGCATTTGAACTATGTCATGTGGCATGTGCTTGACACATAAGCCCGAGAGCTTTTCTATAAATAATAAAACAAGATTTTAACAATATTTGCTTGCAGCGCAGAGCATTTTTTTTTTTTTTTGCTTTACTAAATATGTTTGATAGATAGCTGACATTTGAGAGTAAAGGTTATGCTTGCAAGGCTGATGATGTTGATATAGCATTTTTAATGCATTTTCTCATTAACTTTGTCTTCTCTCTGTACGCTATGAGCTTACAGTTGACTACAATTAAGAACTTTTAAAATTTGTATTTATTTCTTGAAAATTTCCTAGATAGTTTTCGTATCCCTATTTCTCTTATATTTAAGTCCTTAATATGACCTTAATATTTTCTCTGCAACTTAAAAAGCATCTCTCGCATATTCTGTGCGGCAATTCGACAGCTGATAGAATTTCTGTTACCTGCCCTAAAAGCAGTTTTTCTGCTGGCGCCAATTTTCCATTATTACCTATATAATTCTTTTCTATCACAGCTTTTTGCTGACTATTTTTCCCACGCTTCACTGCGGTTTATTAATATGCATTCGCTGTACAGAAAACAAAAGAGATTTTAAATTTTACGAAAAGAAAAAATGCGCTAAGCGGAATAAAATTTAATTATTATTTTGGAGTCGATTCTAGGAGTAATCCATATAACATAATCCTAAAAACGATATTTGAAATGAATTAGATTTCGAAATCAACTCAATTTGCAAAAATATTTTATATTAAATATAATAAAGGAGATTAAAATTTTTAAATCTGAAAATGACTTTGAATAAATTTATTTTAGAAATTATATATTTTTTTATTACTGATGCACATGAAGGAATAAATAGAAAATAAACAAAAAACAGCAGTGTAAATTCTTGATATTAATTAATTTTCATCTAATCTCTGTTTTAATATTGCAGCTTCCCGCCAATTACGCCGTAAAGTGCCATACGCTGGCCATTTGATGACGCCGCGTCGCCTCTGGCTCAACAAAATCCCCACACAATGCGATGTGGTCATTGAGTTTCCCGAGGATGCACCAGATGAGCCGCTGCGATGGCTGTTAGCCCGGATTCGCTCGCAGCCGCCAGCTGGTCTCGGTCTGCTGGTACAAGTGAAGGCCCACGACAGCTCCAGACGTAACGCGTTCTATGTGAGCGCGCCAGTTAATGTGTAAGTGGCGAGCGAGTGGGCTATAAAATTAATTAAGAGAATACATGTACATACATGTATAAGAGTAGAATTTAGTGGAATTAGCTAAGAGCACTTCCAGATGGAATATAATGATGTGAAGTGAAGTGTGGACTCTTATGAAGTAAAACTGGGTGACAGATTAGAATAGATCCATATTTTAAAGGGAAGTCTTTGATTGATAACATTGCTAGATGCTTTTGCTAAGTCTAACAAGCAAAAGAGCTTTATCCTGGGCTTTACGCACAGCTGCCTTTTCAATATATCGATTTTTATCGATAATGGCTTTAGTGACTAATGAGATTTGATAGACATAACATCAAGTTATCGATATTTATCGATTATAGCTTTAGTGATTAATGAGATAAGGCAGACAATCTTACATAATTATTCCTATGTATATTCCCTCAGCTTGTCGTCCCCACGCCTTCTTCTATCTGTTACAAACATTATCTCAAAATCTTCACACTTTAAGCACAGCTCAAAATTATTTATGATTAAATAAAACTTGTCTGAAAATCAACTTAGTTTAAATCAAATCAACTTAAAGTCCAATTAACTCTTTTGCCCCGCAGTCTCTTCAAAGCCGCTGAGGAGGCACGTTTGCCGAAACGTTTGCGGCCCGATTTGGGCGGCGCGTTGCGTGAGTTTACGACACGGGAGAGCCATTGCTTTCAGCAGCTGCGCGGCGATGTGGGCAGCACGGCGCTGTTCACCTCACAGGAGCGCCAGTGGCTGGTGCTGCAGGTGTTGCAGGGTCTGCGTGCCGGCTGCAGCGACATCGATGCGTTGCAAGGACGCGCCGCGGTGGCCGAGGGCCAGAGCATTGTGGCCGCCTGGCAGGAATCGGGTCTGATCACTCAGGTTTTTCCCCTGCACGAGCCACGCTCGCTGGCACAGCTGCAAACGCAATGGGTTAAGCAAATATTTGCCCCACAGCCATTGGGTAAGAGATCAAATATCAAGTTATTCTTGATATATATCGATATATATCGGTATATATCTATTCATATCTTTGACATATCCAACTATCGCTTCAGATGACATCGCCGCCTATTTTGGCGTTAAGGTCGCTCTGTACTTCGCCTGGCTGGGGCATTATACGTGCGCGCTGGGCGTGCCCGCCGTGTTTGGCACCATACTTTATTGCATATTGTGGGGCAAGGGTCAGACGGCGCAGGATATGGGCCATGTGCTGTTCTCGCTGTTCAACGTGGCCTGGGCCTCACTGTACTTGGAAGCCTGGAAGCGTTACTCCGTCGAATTGGCTTTTCGCTGGGGCACGCTCTCAACGCCGCCCGAACTGCTGGAGCCGCCGCGGCCGCTCTATAAGGTGAGTTGTCTAACTGAGAATCGAGAATGAATATGAAATTTACAACTATTTGATGCTTTCAGGGCCCGCTGGAGGAGAACAATGTGACGGGTCGATTGGAGCCAAGGGAGGCGCCCGCCTGGCAGCGTCGCGCCTTTCGCTATTTGGTCAGCTTTCCTGTGATTGGACTGTGCCTCTGTGTGGTCTTTGCTGTTATGTTTCTCATGTTGCGCTTCCAGGTGAGTGCAGCTGTGAATAATGTATAAACATACATATATATATATATATGTATACACAATATAATAGGTCTAGTTTTCGGTTCACCGACGGCTTGAATATATTTTGCAAGTGGTGAAGAGATGGAGAGAGAGAAAGAAAGTTTTAGATTTGCAATGCAAAAGATATTTTAATTTGAAATTCATTCTTTTTGCAAATGAATAAGTGAAACATGTATAAATGTAAATTATATTATATTAAAAACTAGCTGAAATGTAACTCCTTTAAAGCTCCTTTTAACAAAAATTTTATGAAAACCATGAATGTAACATTTTTGTAGGGAAAATATTTGTTAAAAATAATTTTATATATATAAATATATAAATATATTGAAGGATTTATAAAAATATAAACATTTCCAAATATAATTCTTCTATTCTGTACAAATATAAATTTATATTTAATTAAAAATGATATATTTTTATTAAATTTTGTATTGTCTTATTTAATTTGTTTTAACTAAATATATTTCTTAAATATTTTTTGTATACTTATATTTATTTTTATATGTTTGCTATATACACTTTATATATGTGTATATTAATATTTATATATTTTTTTATTATTTGTTATATTTACTTTATAATAAAATACTATGTAATAAAACAAAATTTCTGTTTCACATTTAAAAAGATGTTCTATAAAACGCATACTGCTCTATTCCTCTCTTGCTCTCTCTTTATCTCCCTTTTATAAGTGTTAGGGTATTCTCTATTCAATATTTTATATATATCTGTTTTGACATATTTCCCTAAAAAATAATTTACTTAATTGTTACACCGTGCGTATACTTAATATTGTTTTACATTTTATGACAAATCCGATTCCCTATCCGCTTAATTTGCTTGTGTGTGTGAACGAGTGGCTGTCTGTGTGCGTGTGCTTGTGATACGTGTTAATGTGTGTGTGTGTTGATTTTAATGTTTTTTATGTGTGCATGTGTGTGGGAGCGTGCTTATCAATTTGCTTAACGGTATCCTTTCGCATTTCATAAGCGAGCGCATTTCGTATTGTTGTTGCTGCTGTTGTTGTTGTTGCTGTTGTCGTTAACGCGTTTACGAGCACACGCATTTAAGCACCTGCATACACGCACATTTGCCATATACACACACACACGCAGACGCACACGCACACACACACGCACACGCACACGCACACCCATTCGCATTAATTCTGTTAGCTTCCGTTTGCCTTTTGCCATTATTTTTTGGCTTTTTATGCGCACAGTTTTTTCTCTTTCTTCATGATTTTTATGCTTTCGCAGTGCATTTCTGTTTTATTTATTTGCTAAAAACAACCAAAACAAAGAACAAATAAATCCAAAAATATTAAATACAGTACATATAGAAATAAACTACAATAAAAAACATAATTTATCCCATCTATCACGCCTCATTGAATTATTTTCTTTCTTCTTGCTTTTGTTTTTTCTCTTTTCCGTTTGTTTGTTGTTTCTTTTTCCACAGGATTGGCTGGATCATCATAAAATACCCGATAGAGGAATTGCTCAATGCATGTATAATTTGCACAAGGTTTTTATTGATTTCATTTAACTTTTATTATTATTACGACTAAGTGTTCTTTTTCGCTCACCAATTTTGTTATTTAGCAATGTAAACATCATGTCGTAGCTGTTATTATCAAGTCACAATATTAACACGCGCGTAATGCATAAAAAAGGGGCCTAACAAGAATTTAAGAGGCTCAATTTCGTGGCATAATTTTACGATTACCTTTTTTAGATCCTTCGACACAGAGGGGCTTAGAAAAGCCGTGAAATTTGTTGAAATGCCTGAGCATATGTTTCAGGAATTTCAATTTAAATTGAGGCACACTTTGCTGCCTCTTTGAAAGAGGTTTTTAGATATACCCTAACTCATGAGTTGAGCTGAAAAGCTGAACTGTAATGCCACACCGAAGCTCATGAGCCATAAGCCTTTTGTAAGTCTCATTAAACTCAAGGGAATATTTCCCAGAATTTGATGGAGACCTTTGTTCTCTAACTGCAAACCTCAAATATTAACTTTTTTAATATATATTAGAGCATAATTAAAATGCACCTTATAGCATATTGCACTTGCCGTCATTCATTATGTCACGCCCTTTGTTCTGTGCTTTTTTGCCAACGAGCTGAGACGTAAATTATAATATTCAGCTGGCAGCTAGGCTAACTACCTGCTTACAACAAGCTGCTAATTAAGTTGAAAATTATGCAACAATACAAACGAAACGAGCACACACCCAAAACTCTTGCTCATGTGACCAGAACAGAGATGCCAACACGCTCACACACACATGCACACACTTTCGGAAGTGCTGGCAAATTAATAGCGCTTTTGTTCTAGCGTAAAATGTTAGCCAGGTTTGCTGGTAAATGATTGCCGTGCAACGAGTGTCTGTGTCATGAATACCCAGCTAAGCGCCTGGCTAAGGGGTATATTAGATTTCGCTAGAGGGTACGTGGAAGTGGCTCAATTTCGATATGAATTAATATAACTTGTTTATGGCTAAAAGTGAAAGTTATTTAATATGGTACTTAAAAAAATTATATTGATAATAAATAGCTATATCTATATTGAAAACATTGGGCATTTTAAAATAATTTAATATAGGGTATTTATAAAAGTATTTTATAAAATATTTAATAATATTTCAAGGTGTTTGCTGTCTTTCAAAGTGTATGCTGTCTCTCATAGCGATATTTTATCAAGATAATAGTTTCTTAACTTATCTTATAGTTGATAATCCAATATATTGAGACATGTTATACTTCAGAGGGTGTCTAATAGTTGACATTTTTTCATTCTTCTGCGCCTAAATAGAGCATACTTTAGAGGGCATCTGGTAGGTGACACTTCACTATTATAAGTTTGGGTGAAACTAGAGGGTATCTAATTGCTTATTATAATATTTATTGAATATGACTAATGATATATATGAAAATGCTCGAACTGCAAACATATAAAACATGAGGAATCTATAAACATAAAACAGAAGAAATCTACGGCAATAACTGAGAACAACTATCCTAAGCAAGCATTATATCTTGGCTATAAACTACATATTATACTCTCTAAAAATATAGCACACTGCACAGGGTATCTTCTAGCTTATATGTCCGCACAAGCAATCGAAGTGCCTTTTAATTGTCACGAATTACCGTAAGAGTGAGTGAGACGTAGAGAGCGGGGGCAAATGTCAGTTTGATCTCGTGCTCACGAAAAACAACTCCCACAACGGATATATATCGTAATGGAATCAAATTAAGCTGCAATTTGATAAATGGAGTGTCTAAGTGTGTGTGAGTGTGTGTGTGTGTGTGTGTGAGAGTGCAATAATTGAGTTGACTGGCTGGCAAAATGAAATGATGTATTAAACGAGCGCTGTTCGCTATGCCAAACTCATGCTATATCGTTAACTAATAAGTTGGCTTAATCTAGCGTAAATATGCACACATTAACTTTATATATACACACTTATATATACATATATAATTGATTTATTTTCGTTTTTGTTGCGTTAGGACTGGTGGGACTCGAAGCTGCCCGAGGACAGTGTCTTGTGCTGCCTGAGTGTGATACCCAAAGTGCTGCTAGCTGGTGCGATTACCTTGATGGATGAGGCCTATTTCAAGCTAGCCGTTTGGCTGAACGATAAGGGTAAGATTTGTTTATATAATATACGAACTATATATAATATGATGTGCTAAACTCTTCATAGAAAACTATCGCCTGCAATCGAAGTACGAGAATCATTTGATAGCGAAAGTTGCGCTATTTCAATTCGTCAACTCGTTCCTTTCGCTCTTCTACATTGCCTTCTATCTGCGGGATGAGGACAAGCTGAAGGAGGTTTGTACATAAACATCATTAAATATCTTTGCAGTTCTCTTTTATTTAAGCATTCTTTGTGTTTCTTTAGCAATTGGCTGGCTTGCTCATCTCTCGTCAAATTATTGGCAATCTACGCGAATCGGCTGTACCCTATGTCCTCGAGCAATGGAAGCTGGCCAAGTTGAGCTTCAATATGTGGGGCGCTCTGAGCCCCACACAGCATGTTAATCGCAGTCTAGCCGAGGAGTTGGCCACGGCCGAGGAGAAGCTCAAGGCTGAGGCGGCTGCCACAACTAAAACTACAGCACAGCAGGAGCAACAGCAGCAGCAGCAGCAATCGGCTAATAAACGTGACATTGGACAAGCCGAGATTGAGAGCTCTCTATATAAAGTAAGGGATGCTTAGAAACTGTTGGTTAGATTTGCATTATAAGCTATATATTATGTGGAACAGGTGTTTAGAGATAGCAAGTGAGATATAAATATGCTAATAATATAATATGTAACGGAAAATCATTCAATGAGTTAAGAGATGTGAAAGGTATTTGGATTAAATTTGTAGCACCAGATCGAGATAATATATGGATTTCTTTTAGATATCAAGCATGAAATATATAGAAAGTATTTATTTGATTTGTAGCGTGTAGAGGTAAAGAAGATCTTTTAAATATATATTATTAAATATAATTATTCAGCATATAATATATATTATTCAGATATTAAATTGGATATATATTATTAAATATATGTATATTATTTAGAATGATAAATCAGTTTGGAGATTCAATGCATAAAAGTTGTTCATAATTTAACTGAATATAAAATTTTTTATATTTGATTGAAAGTAAGAGCAGTAATTTTAGTATACTATAGTAGTAGTAGGCTATTGTGGGAGTAAAGTATAAAAGTGGCAGTACTAATACTATTAGTAGTAGCAATTGCTGTAGTAGTAGAGCTTATCGAAATGGTAGTAATGTTAATAGTAGTGATATAAAAATATAATAGTAGTATATTATAAATGTAATAGTAGTCTTTATAGTAGTAGTAAATGTAGGAAATTATTAAAAGTATTGCTACATAGTAGTGGTATATTTTAATATTAAGGGTAGAATATTATAGTAGTAGTAGCAATAGTAGCATTTATAATAGTAGTCATTATTATAGAAGTATTAGTAGTAGTATATTAGTATTTTAGGAGTATTTATTATAGAAGCAGTAGTAGTAATAGTAGTAGTTAAATAGAATAATTATTAGCAGTAGTAGTAGTATTATTGATAATAGGTGTATTATTAGTAGTAGTTGTAGTAATATTATTAGTAGTAGTACTAGTATTATTATTAGATAGATAATAGAATAATTATTAGCAGTAGTAGTAGTATTATTGATAATAGGTGTATTATTAGTAGTAGTTGTAGTAATATTATTAGTAGTAGTACTAGTATTATTATTAGTAGTGGTAGTATTAGTATTTTTAGTCGTATTATTAGTTTGAATGTAGTCAAGCCAATGTCTAAATCAAATACGAGTTGTATTTCATATAAAAGTCAATTAATTAATCTTGCTTACTTAAGAGAGTTGATGATAGTTAAATTCATATAAAATATATTTTTCACTCTAATTTAAACTGCATTAAACAGCCCTCGCTTCTACTATTGCAGTACGACGGGACATTCTCGGATCATTTGGAGATGCTGGTGCAAATGGGCTATGTGGTGCTCTTCTCGGCCGCCTTCCCGCTGGCCGGGGTCTGTGCGTTAATTAACAACCTGATGGAGATCCGTTCGGATGCGTTTAAGCTGGCCCATGTGCATCAGCGGCCGTTTGGGCAGCGCGTGGCCAACATTGGCACCTGGCAGAATGCGTTGAGCATTTTATCGCTGGCCGCGGTTATTGTCAACTGTGCGCTGATTGGCCTCTCCGGGCAGGTGTCGCGCCTCTGGCCTGGCCTGACCACGGCGCAAACTATAATTTTAATCGTGACGCTGGAGGTGAGGCCAAATGGCAATCATTTTTATTTATGTACATGCATAAAGTTGTAATGCATTTTCTGTTTGGCTGTTGCTCTTGTTGTTGTTGTTGTTTGCTTTCTGTGTGCAGCACATTATGCTGGGCCTGCGGCAGGCGTTGACTTGGCTGCTGCCGGAATTGCCCTCGTGGCTGGCGGCGGAAATAGCGCGTGCCGAGCACTGTCGCCGCGAGATGCAGTGCAAGGGCACCTCGCCCCGGCCCACACCACCGACACCGCCCTCAACCACATCCACGCAGCCGGAGCAGGAGGTCACAGGCGCCGAAACCACGCACGATCAGTCCATGGAGAGTCAGCTGGCTGAGGATATGCTGCTCTATGGCCACGAGCTGGGCGCCAGCTATGGCCGCAGCATTGAGGCGGATGTGAATATATATGAGAATCGTGACTCTTCGCCCGACTCACCGCCATCGCAGGTGCGTGCAATGCGCACATACTTTCTACACTATATTTATACTTTATACTATAAAGCTAAGAGTTTAATCACTTTCAGACTAGCACCATACTCATAAGACCGCTGCATGAATCCACGCCGCCGCACGGTGGCGCCTCGCTGAGCAGTTTGCATCACGATGGCAATGGGTAAGAGAAGCCAAGTCTTGGCTCTGGCTAAGCTCTTAAGTATTTTGCACACGCCAAGTTAATTAAGGTCCATTCATGGCTGAATAATATGACTGGCAAACACACACACACACACTATAACATTGATATATATTATAAATATCGCACACTTCAATTTATTCAACAATTTTCTTAATATTTAATACCTTTTTCCACGATTAACTCCATTTGCCATGGGCTCTCGCCTTTTTGTGTCATTCTCTGCATTTGTCAATTTTTCTTAAAAATTTTATTCATACATTTTTTTATCGATAACTTTTGTAGCGCTTGTAAAAGTTGTAGGCAAAAATCGCAATTCTTTATACCGGAAATACCGCCATTTCTTGGATATTCGGTGCGCAATTTGAGTGCTCTGTCCGCGCACGGTCAGAGAGTGCAACAACAACAACAGCTGCTTAGCGGGTAAATTGTGTAATTCATTAACTATAGATGTGTGTGTGCAGGAGGAGGAGGAGGAGGCATTGCAACACAATGCAACAATGCAACAATGCAAATTCAATGTGTTTACTGTGCTGTGCTCTAATTTCTTGCTGTTTGTTGTTGTTTTCGCTTTCCAAAAAAAAAAAAAAAAAAAAAAAAAACCAAAACCAAAAATTCTAAACAATTTCTCTATCAATTGGCCAACATCTTCACTTTACAAGCTGCTTACTCTAACTATAATAGATCTATGTATATATATTCAACTTATTTATTCGTTAAAGTAAGGGTATTCCAGCAATTGTTTTTATAGTTCATAAAATTTCTGTAGTTTATGGAATACCCCTACTTTAGATTCTTGTTGCTTTTCTCTACTCAACTTTCTACATACACTCTCTCTTCATATATATTTCTCTTTCCTACTTTTTTTTTCATTATCGCTCGCTTCTGTTATGGCACCTTGCAGCGCTTCAGCTAGCACGCTAGCTCTGAACTCAGCCGCTGCCAGCTACGCAGCGCCGATGCATATACAAGAAATACCGCCGTTCCGCAAGAAATCGAGCGATTCGGCTGATCAGACAGGCAGCAGCACGGGCAGCAGTCCACAGCGCGCATCGATGCGCCAACTGCTGCAATCAACCCACCAGCAGCAACAGCAACAGCAACAGCAACAACAACAGCAGCAACAACAACAACAACAACATCAGCAGCAAACAACAAGAATCGCAGAGATTCCGCCGTACAGCAAGCAGCGTAAAATATCCACAGAGAGCGTTGCCAATGTACCGCTGAGCGTAAGAACAGAGCACTATATAATTTATATATATCTAGATATATCCACATATTTAGATATATTTCAATGCTATTAAAATCTTTCCCTTTCACATAAACTGAACCCTAGCTAAACACCCTCGACTTGTGCGTAGTTTGACCAATAAAACCTCGATACCTGACCAAATAACACCTAACTGTTGACAAATACTAATCTTAGCGCTAAGTAGTAGAATTATTAATTATTATTATTATTATAGCTATAAGTATATAACATTTTAGCAACAATTGAACATTGATTAGACACTTGTGACTCGATGTTGTGAGTAGAGCAGAAATAGTTTTTCACAATACTACCCTATGACACTACTTCCCCTCTGTTGCTGACAATGAAAGTAAGGAATTAGGCCCCATGTTTATAGATTGTGAAAATTATATGATTAGTATTATCAATAATCAAGGATTAATTGCAGTCTATTATAGACTGTATATAGAATTTAGATTAAAAAAAAAATTCAAAAATAAGAATTATTTTCGATTTTTTTGAGCTATTTAAAAAATATATATATTGTTAATTATTAAAATTAATATATAAATAGTATTTTTAAACTGGCATACTTATGTATTCTGATTTGATTTGATTTTTTTCCTATACATGGTGTCTTGGAAAGGTATTGCGATTTTTATGTTATTATTTTTAGTATATTATTATTATTATTATTTTTAGTATTTTATTATTATTATTATTAATATATATATATATATATATATATATTTTTTTTTTTTTAATTTTTTTTATTTTTACTTTGAAACGTACAAAATATATTCATAAATATCATATCAATATCAAATAACTGTTAACCGTTTCATTCTATACGCTCTGTTCGTGTGATCAACTGAAAAAATTCATATTCAATCGTCTTCACTCTGAGCAAGAGCCTTCGGTTATTTTCGTTCTTTTTGACGAATATCATTTAGAGAGCGACACGATTGACGATCGCCCAATGAGAATCTATGTAAACGCTGCTCACGCTCACATACACATACACCCATTTCACGTAGGCTATCGGTGTGCTTAGCGATTCACTAATAGACATAGTTATAGCAAACACAACTCCCGCATACAACCAATACATGAAAGACTTTTTACTCAATCACAAGAACTGAAGAAAAAGTTGCTGGCCGATTATGATCGAGGAAGTTGAAGAACCGACGCAATCGGTTCCTCCTCTCAGACTTTTTTCTCAGACATCGAGGAACGATCAACAGTTATTTGAAAGCTATGATATATAGAAATTTGTATATATAAATTATTTTTGAATAACAACAAATTAGCTATACCTTTTAAAAATACTTCGCTTATTTTTTTTTATTTTTAATAATTTATTTTTATTTATTAATAATTAAATTTTTTTTTTTTTTTTTTTTTTTGAGGTTTAATTCTTGTCCGATGAAGCGTGATGTCATGTTATTAAAGGTAGAAAATAAACCTTATATTAATATTAAAAATATATTTATATTTATAATATTATTTTACAATAAAACATGTGAACATTTGCTTATCTATAAGTTCCCAAAATAATTGCTGCCACAGTCTGAGCTGTTGCACGAAAGCTATAGAAGAAGCCTTTTAGATCTGATATAAAATATGTCTCTTAGGTATTTTATATGAAATTACTTATTTTTATGGTATATTCTTTACTGTGCTCTGTAGTCCTTATAAAACACACAATTCTCAGTTAATACAACACCACACTAAACCGTAAACAAACAAAGTTCACTCTAACAAATTGTTTACTGTTTAAAGGACAAACTACATATAAAACTTCACGCACCCGAATGGATGTCACGCTTAAAAGTGAACGACAATGTGAATCTCCATAGAAGCATAGATTGTATTGCCAAGGTAGTGAAGAGCTGTCTAAAGCGATATATATATATAAATATATATCGTATATATGTTAATTGATGTGCATATGGGTTGAGTTTCGAATAGTAGCTGATATACATACATATATCTACATATATAGATATAAACTGTTGTCCTTGTTGTTTGCATTGCAATTGAAACTTCATTTGGTTCAGAGTTGGATTCAATTTGCAGGCAGCTATAGCTACATATATAGAAAATATACGTTAAGCTTTTATTTGGGCATGGCAGTTGCTTTATGTCGTTGATCGTAATAAAAATAACACCTAGAAAACAATTTCACGCTGGCTTCAAGTGCTCATTCATTCATAATCTATGCATGCCTTAAGCTTTGAGTGTGTGTGTAGCATTGCGAGCATTTATTGTCGATATATGAACCTTCAAGCCTAATCCATCATATCATTCTACATGTAATATATTTTGATACTCAAGGAGCTCGGCAACACGGCGGACAACTCAGACATATTGAAGCCGGCGCCATCCTGGAGCAACGTGGCCTTGAAGACAGGCGCTCCGGGCATTATGCTGGCCACGCCCCCAGCTGCTCAGCAAATTGTCGCCTCCTCATCGTCGTCGTCGGGCGGCGGTGGCAGCGTTTTCAGTCCGAGTAGCGTGGGCCCAGTCGTCGCCGCTGCCAGCAGCAGCAGCGGCATCAGCAATTCACAGTCACGACCCAGTGTGGGCGCTTTATCCAATTCCTCATCGAGTTCATCGCACAAGCAACAGCAGCAGCAGCAGGCGAAACAGGCAAAGGAGGCCAAGGAGGAGCGAGAGAAAGAGCAGGAGCAGGCGGCAGCGGCAGCCACTGCATCCACATCCGCTGGCAATACAGACGATGAGACAAAGGGTAAGTTAGTTCAGCTCCCTGCATATATTAAAACTAATTATTCATTTCATTTCTAGCTGCCGAGTTGGCGGCCAAGAAATCGCGGCTTAAACAAAAGCTGGTTAAGAGCGCGCGATCTGTGGCCATATTCTCGCTCAAGCTCAAGGAGCGGCGACAGCGCGAGGCGGAAAAGGCAGCCACAATTGCTGTGGAGCATGCCAAGGTACATATTTTGGATTCATGAGTTAATTGAAAAGATTTTGAATTCTAATTCTCTTCTCTTACCCAGGCTCTGGCTAAGCTGCCAATGCCGCAGCCCGTGGGCGGTGAGCTGTCTCTAATACCCATCGAACATCTAATACAAATCGATGATATCAAGCCAGCGATCAAGCCAGCAGCAACAACAACAACAACATCAGCAGCCGTTTCATCGAGTACACAGCCGGGCTCCTCTATGCATTATCAGCAGCAACAGCAGCATCAGCAGCAGCAGCAGCAGCATTATCATCATACGGATAATTAAGCTTAATCGACAGAGCTTAGACTAACTATAAAAACAACGCACACTGTAAATAGTTTTTTTCTATGCACGTAATACCCATATCTGGTCCATGTTTTAGAACGATCTATCGCTAACATATTGATGATATGAGCCATTTGCTGAATGTGTGTCTTGTCCAGAGTTGGAAGCAACTAAATAACGTCTATGTACTAGTACACCTAACAAACTAATTAACGAATGTTATTAACTATGATATGATATGGCTTTCAAAACATAGAAGAACATAAAACAAAATGTTTAAATGTTTTTTAAGTCATATTCTCACACTCACATGAATGTTTGTTGATATTTAAAAAATGAAAACTGATAAAAACCAGTTGTGAAACGAATTTTGTTTAAGCGTTTTAGCGTTTTAGCCGTTACATGTTTTTGTGTAGTTAATGTTCTTAGCCATAAACGAAAGAAAGCAAAAAAAATATGAAGAAAAATATTTGTCATTTGTTAAAACTTGATGTTACGCATTTATGTTGCGATTACTTTTTACTAATATCGATTCATTAATTAACAAATTAATTATGTACTTAACAGAAAGCTGCAATGAGTAACTATCAATTATTATTTTCGACCATTGCATACTCATTAAATTTCGATTATTATTTACAGACTTACGTTTGATGTACTCGTTGCAGTGATCTTTCAATCAATCAATCAATCACACACACACACACACACACACAAACACAACGACAAGCATTGTGATGCCCAATTGCATTGCGCACTCAAATGTCGTCCATTGTTCCTTCCATATATACATGCATACATATATATACAAACACATATTGTATATATACATATATATATAAACAGACTTTGCAATTGCTTAAACAAAAACAAATTAAACAAATCTATTTACAAATGCTTATTATGTTTATTTAATGCTTGAAAGGAACACTTACACACACAAACACATAAGGACACACAGACATACATATATACAACTAACTCTACCGATGGATATTTGTACATAATATTTAGTATTTAAGATGTCAACGAGAAATTTACACGTGAATATAAAAATAATAATAAATTTAATGTGCTCTTGAGTTGAAAACTAAAAACTAAAACGAATAACTAAAAAATATAAATTAAAAAAAAATTAATAGGTAATGCAAATTATTTAAACAAATCCTTTGAAAACAAAATTTTTATTTGACTTTTATGTTGTGTTCTTTTAGGCTTGCTGCTGCAGTTTATGAAGGCGGGGCAATAGTTGCATGTTTTAGGGCGTTGCTTGAAATTTCAACAAGACAAACAAGAAATTACAATTAGAGTGACAAAGTGCAAGTGAAAACGTAAATGTGATAAAGAGATAAGAAACGGAGCTATTCAAATTATTGGTAAGTACAAGTGAAAGACTTTATGTATATTATTATTACAGTCTTTTTTTTTTTTCAATTTACAAAGGAATTCATATTATCGATAATTATCGAGAAAGAATTTTGTTCAAGGGGATAGAATTTTGTTCGATTTATCGGGGTAGTAAATATTCAAACTCGACTGTTTTTATATACCCATACAAAGAATCATATAGAGTTTGATTATGTACAGCGATTGTGGGGAAATGCTAGGAAAAGATTTTATTGCAAATTTTTAATGCCAATTTGAGCATTAGTTGAAGATTAATATACAAGATTTAGATAGCTAGAAAACTATTTTAACGCATATATTTTAGAAATGTAGAAAAATGTGAATAATTTCAGATATATACATATACTTATAAAATATATTACGAATATGTTCTGGTAGGTGTGCCAGATGGGAAAACATCGGAACTCTAATAATAATAATAATTTTAAATTGTAATTTGCATTTTATTGAATTTAAGTTAAACATAATAATTTCTATATATGTATATAGTTAAAAGGGGTTTTCTTTAAAATATATATTTTTATACAACGCTCTAATTTCATTTAAATCAGTGCAATTTAGATTAAGTATCAGATTATAAATATTTTTATTTTTAATAATTGCAATATACTTAGATTATATATTAGATTACATATATATTATAATTTCATATCGTATCACAGCGAACATTTCACAAGTTATAAACATTTTCGTAAAATACATTTTATACCCCTTTCCTTAAGGCAAACAATTTGTCATATAACACACACACCTGTCATTCCAGCCCATAATATGCAATATATATACTTGTGTGCGTACATATATAAATAATGTATATAAAGTGACTTATCTGTATATGCTCGTAATGGCCGTCGACTCGTGCGCCTGTCCGACTGTTGGGGAGGGGGCCTTAAAACGCGCGCGCGCTAATTAGCGGTACGTGCGGAGTGCGTTTTGTCAGGCGCTCGAAATGATATAGAATATGAACCTGGTGACAGAGGAGTGTGGAAAGTGGTGTGCGGAGTACGGAGTGTGTGGAGTCTGGAGATGCCCGAGGGCATTGCCGGCCAACTCGAACGACTGTGACAGCTGAGATCGCGTTGTGTTATCAATGAATTCAAATCAGGAGACATCAGACGTCAGACAGTCGACAGCGAACAGCGAACGGCTCACCTGTAACAATGACATGTGTTGCTGTTGCTGTTGCTGTTAGCTGTTAGCTGTTTTCTGCTGATGAGAGCGTGCAGTTGTGACCCCAGTGACCCCATCTACATCCAGAGCCACATCCATGGGCCCCTCTCCTTGTGCCCGCCACTTGGTGCTGGGCTATAAAACAAAATGAGAAATGTTGTTGCAAAAAAATGGCAAGCGGACATAAGTGCACTCTAGTCGGGTGGGGAAATACCCTGTAGACAGTTAGATAATTTATATTTCCTTAAAATTAGAGGCAGAGTTCGAGATTACACTGAGTAGAATTTATTATTAAATTCACTTTTTTTGTATTTATTATATTAATATTTATTTTTTAATCGTTTACACATTTTATTTTTGAAGTTTTATCTTTTGTTTATCAAGTAACTTTCAATGTAGGGTGGTTGAGAATATGAAACATTGTTATACTAAAATACTTATATAATATAAGAGAGTATACATAAAGTGGGAGATTTGTAATACTAAAACCCTTAATTAATATAAGAGCGTCCACATTTAGTATATAAAAGCAGCTCTCAGGCGAATGTATAGAAGAGCTTGAAGTGTAGAAAAATAAGAAATCTTTTACTTATGTATATATTTCATAGATATGTTATATATGTTTTTGGCGGGCTCAAAATTTTTAGACTTTTCTTTATAGTTCCTTTAGACTAGTAGTTAATTCTTCCTTAATTCAGATACCATTTTAACTCATAAATATCAATCCACTCACACATACTGTCATATTGTTATCCCATCAGTTGTCTTCCATTTCAAATTAATGAAGAGCACTCAGTATACCCCCATTTAACTATTTCCATCAATCATAGGGTATTGATTGCATATACTTGTATGCTGGCACTAGATGCCCTATTAGATTTAAACGTAATGATTAAGCCATTTGCAGTGCGTGTGCATTCAATTTATTGTTGTTGTTGTTGTTGTTGCTGGCATCTGGAAAACTTTCAACTGCCCAATCATTATCCTTGACCCACGGTCTACGGTCTACTGCAACAGACAATGTGTCATTTTAATAGGCCGACATTATTCACAGTCGTGTTTGAGTTAAGTTCAGTTCAGTTAAGTTCAGTTTCAGTTTCAGTGTTCGGGTAATTAAAAACACTTGTCTGATTTAAGCATAGGAATTTTACAGCAGGTCTACTGCGACAGAGAGTGATATGTGCTATAAGTACATTTTTAATGGACTCGAATTGCATTCAATAGCACTTTCTAGTCTGACAGAAATGATATGTTTTCTAGTAAATGATTTTATTAACTTATGAATATTTTTTAATTTTATTGAGAATGTTGTGAATGGAAATATTTTTTTTTATTTTTTTTTTTTATTTTACAGGCATTTAATAATAAATTATATGTTTTTCTTATTAATTCTAATTATGTTAAATTTTGTAATACAGAACACATAATAATAATAGCATAACACTATATATTATACTATATAGTATTTTCATTTAAACAAAAAACACATAGTCATAGTAATGTGTATTTTGGATTATATTGATAATTTATTCTGAGAAATATCTATTTTTATACCCTGAACCATTTTCAATGGGAAATCAGGGTATAATGGTTTTTTTCTTCTTTATTTATTTGTTTGTTTATTTATTTATTTTTTTTATACCCCGAACCCATTGAAAATGGATAACTCATCCCGTTATTTTGTTATCGATTAAACACATTATCGATATTCAGTAATAAATTTGTATCTGTTACATCTTTGGAGCTAGAGTCGCCAAATTTTATTGTAGATTAAAAAAAAAAAAAATTCGGTTTTTATTATAATTCACCACCACCCCTAAGTCCAGCCCCTCACCCTTAAATTTGTAAAAGGCGTATTTCAAATACTAGACACTGGTGCCTTAGCAGGTGCATGCATTTCTATGTTATAATCACAATCTAAAAGATTAATAAGTATACCATCCGTCGAGTGCCATATCATTCAGCTTCTGTCATGCAGTCTCATCGCATTTAGCTTAATTGAGAGCATTTATATTTCTGTGAATCATATGATTATGTTCACTATTTCGTGAACAATGAGGATACATTTTTCCACAAGCTTTATATTACTCAGTCGTTGACATTGATGTACCTTACACCGAGTCTTGTAACATTCAGCTTTTGTCATGCAGCTGTCTTCACTCTAGATTTTGCTACATTTACTAGAAGAGTTGGCCCACAGTTCACGGGGCTATGCGTTTTTTCTAAGCAAGCAAATTATGATCAATATTTCCCCAAGTTTTATTAATGTACTTCTATCGAGTCTCGTAGCATTGAGCTTTTGTCATGCAGCTGCCGTCACTCTAGTTTTTGCCCCATTTACTAGAAGAGTTGGCCCATAATTTCAGAGGCATTCATGGCGCTATGCTTTTTTACTGAACGAACAAATTATGATCAATATTTCTGATGTGAGCAGAAAGACGCGAAGAATTATTGATATATCAGTTCCTCGTAGGGTTGAGGGGACTTCGTAGGCGACTAGAGTTTTCTGTTTAATATTAAAAATACATTCTACATATATCTATATACATATGTTCTTTCTGTCTTTCATATTAATAAATGGATGTTAAAGCATTAATATTTAAAAATGTATTATTTATTATTATTATTTTCTACTAAATAGTAAAAATTTGATAGCCTTTTCTTCAGTATTTATAT